ACTCCTTGAGATCATTCTTGAGTAGGGAGAATCGAAGAGATGAAATTAGGGTTTTGTCACTTGAATTACAAGTCATTTTTTATGAACACATGAACCAAATCCATGCTAGGCTGCATAATCCTTGCTTTTCAAGCCTCTAACTTGTTTGTCACTCCAGAATTAATGGTTTACACAACTTATTATGCCCTTATCCAAGTGTTTCAAGCTTTGTCCAAATCAATTTTCTATTTTAGGGAGAAAGTAACATATCCATTCTTGTAAAGCACTCCCAACTTGTTTTCCTTGATTACACTCCATCCACAAAGTCAGAAGTATTGTGTTTAAAGTGGTTAACAACTCTATGAACCAAGTACAATGCATGGAAACTTGAATTTCTCAAAAAAATCACATGTTATGCATAAACTTGTGATTTTGAATTCTGATCAACAAGAGGTCTCCAAACTTGTTGCTTATAAATAGAGTCACTATTTGTGAGCTAAAGGATGAGCTTTAGCCCCATGAAGCACTCCCAAATTCCCTCTAGCCGGAAATTTAACAAAAAACTCCATTGATACACAGTTCTGACCTTAAACTTGTATCTCTCATTTCCCTCGTGCGTTTTCCCTCAAATTATTTCCTAAAGCTTCCTTACATTAAATACAACTCATCCCCATCCTTATTCCAAAACTGTAACACCATTAACCATAACCTCCATAACCAAAAAGCAGAGTCTACAACTTGACTTCTCTAGGCCATTTCAGCCACTCTCAACTCAAGCAAACCATTGCATTAGCTTCCTAGGACCTCAAGGAAGCTAACCTGATCACCACCATCACTTGAAACAGGCTCAAACTCAAAACACGATTTCTAGTTTTGAGGTAAGTTTTCTCAACTTGGAACTCTTCATACAGGCATCCTCAATAGTTTATTTATGAACAAAACATGTAGATATCATTGCCCTGAAGCTAACCATGTCCATAGTTTCCACTAATTTTGCTTGAGCTTAGAGAATTTTGAAACTGAAACTTCTGAAATTTTTAGGGTTCAGGTTAGGGCCATTAAAATTCATGCTTATCTTTGATCTATAGTTTTAATACTTTACATTTTTGGAATCGTGAGAAAATTTGCTACAAGTTTCATGTTTGCAGTTTTTTATTTTTGATGAGATATAAGCAAGTTACAGTTGGTCTGGCTGGAGGTTGAAGATGAAGTCTTCAGGGCGTGTTTTGCCTTACATATTTATTGTTTTACTTGTATTAATGGATGTATAGCCACCCCAGTGGTAGAAGCGCGCCCTTGTAACCTATGGGACCTGGGTTCGAGCCCCAGTGGTACCCTTTTCATTTTTCACATTTTCATTTTTTCTGATTTTGGTTGTTTTTGGCAGGCGCTGGGCCCCTTTGGGCCTGGCTTGTTTTTGTTTTTGCTCACTGACCTCCCTGCTGACTAATGGCACCCCTGGCCCAAGTTTGTTTTTTTTTTAATTATTTTATTTTATTTTCTTAAATATATTTTCTAAAATACTAGAAAAAAATCATAAAATACAAAAAATGATATATTTATATGTTGAATTAGTTTATCTTATTTTTCTCACAAAAAATATTTTTATTTATTATACTTTATTTATTTTTTACTTATTATCTGTAAATAAATAAAATAGGTTATTAGTTATTTTCTTTCATATTAATTTAAATACATTATTTTTTTATATAAAAAAGACTAAAAATATTTTATAATACTATAAATATTTTTAAAGATAAAAATACTAAAAATACTTTTCTTAAACTTATTTTCTTTTGATTAATTTATAGAATTAGGGTTTCACTTAAAATCTTTTCTTAATAAAATTCAAATTCAATTAATTATTTTCTTTATTTAATTAGGTCAAGACAAAATCCCTTTTTCATGAAAATCAAACAAAGATACATTATCTTTACATTTTTTGCATTTTTGTACAATTCATTCATTTTATTACTTTGTATTTATTTATTTCCTTGTATATTTATACCAATTCAATATGGTTGTAATAGAATAATTAGGTTTAAATTCTTGCAATCCCCATTTACAAATTGTATACCCCCCTCCCCACAAATGTTGTAATAGCGTAGTAACTTTAAATTTCATAATTTATCTCTTTTATATACAGTGCTAGTAATTAGGATTTGTATGGAAAGACTAAAACCGATACTTAGAAAACCCTAATTCAAGACAAAAAACAAGCATGAAAATGATACACTTACACACAAGCACCCCTAGGGTTATTCCACATGGTTGCCTTATACAAAATGATCATATTACGCATGTGAGGTATCTTAGAAAGAACAAGCAAATACAAGATCATAGTCCCTCGATGACGCTATCTATGTTGCCTTCCAAATGATCTTAGTCCCTAAAGAAAAAATGCTAAGATACCTTGCAACATTGCTAATCATGGTTATACAATGACCCACGCCCGTCCTGTTTACATCAAAAGATAGGGTTGCTTACCAAATCAATGGTAAGACAACAATGTCAAAGGAAAAGACAATGAACAAGAAAGACATTTGAGTAGGTAGATTGCTCCTAATTACTTGCTCCATTTCAAAACAAACATCCTTTCTATTTTCAAAACAAACACCTACACTTTCAAAACATCTTACAAAATTTGAAAACATTTTCAAAAGATCAACATCTTTGTATACATTCTTACAAACAAGAATCATTACAAAGATTGCCTAAACAATGGCCTTTTTACAAAGTACTTTCAAAAATCACACAAAGCATAATTTCAAACAAAAGCAAGTGATCTAGCAAGTAACTAAGAGCCCATGAAAAACCATAAATGAAAAGGGTGCTAATACCTTTCCTTTTCATAATCTACCCCCCGAACTCAAGAAATAATCTCAAAGGTCTTTCCTGTGCTTTTTCACCTTTCCTTTTGGATAAAAGAAAAGTCGATGACGACTCTTGCTAACCGCAATATTTGCGACCAAACGCAAAACCCTCAAGTAAGTTCTCCCACCGTATCACAAACACGAGCTAGAAATTCCATGAGATGGAAGCGTTGTCTCGTTGATGACTCGAAGTTCCTTAATTGTATTATTTGTGAGATAGTTAAAATCTCGTGTCAGCAAAATCTGTGAGTTGGTCAGAACCTTTTAGAGGACTTAGAATGGAATGTAGCAACAAGAAACGATTATTGTCCAACTAATTTGCATTAATTGCAACTGGCACAGGACAATCCTAGATGTCTTACACTCTTATGGTCCTAATCGTGTGACTCCTTAATATATATCTTTTGGCGGGTATTGGTCTTATTCTCAACCTTTGTGTGTTGGCAAGAAATTTATTTTATTGGTGGATATTGGCAAGGTTCTAGTATTGTTTTGGACAGTTCGTGCTCAGGGGAAAATATGATTTTCTATAAAGACCCATAAACTAGTCAGTAGTACATGTGAATCCCATGTGTTCTATAGTGTTCAAGTCAGAATTGCACAGTAGAGAGTAATGAATGGAAGATCTCAATGAAGTTTTATGGAGGATTAGAGAGATAATTTCTCATAGGAATGAAAGTAAGACACTTCTTCATCAATTGTGTGATATCATATTAGAGTAGTGCGGGGGCGGTGAAGCATCATGTGTGTGTGCGTTTAGTATGTAGTATCAAGCCAAGTGAAGTCTGATAAGAATATTAGAAGTTGGACTGTAAGGTCTATCAAAATTGTTGAAGGATTTATAAGATAATGATAATCAGCACCATTTGTAAATAAGGAATCAATGTTAACACCACAGAGCTTTGAGAATGTTGGTTATTCGAACAGATCAGAGTGGTGTATCCAAAAGAGTGAGTTGTAGGAAAAGGATAAAAGTTAATCAAGGAGTAAAATAATAGTATGATTAGTGTTGCACCACAAATTTTTACCTCCTAATTGTACTTTTTATCTGGCGTAGACTTAGCATTGCATTCACATCTTTTCATTAGTTTGTTAACATAGCATGTATTTTAATTCAATAAAATACCAGAGATTCGAAATTCAGTGGTTATGCAAGCTAGGGTTTTCACATTGGTTTGAGGTGTGCACATCAAATAAGTTTGATCATATGATTTATCTTTAAGCAAAATATTCAAGGAAATATGGTTTTCTCCATGGATTGAGGTTGATGACTTCTCAATATTGATTTAACTGGTTCTCATGGCATGCAACTAGGGTTTTGAATCACGAGCATCATGATCATTCTCTGGAAAGCTAGTAAGTTATCTGCATCAAAGACTTATTTTCATCTTCACCAAGTTTGCTCAAGGCATCATTTCAAAAGGGTTGAATTAGATAAAGTGGAGTTTGAAGATTCATCTTTATATGTTGCTTGCAATACAAGATAATTTGGTTTAATGTTTTGATGGGGATTGTGATTTGAATTAAAGAGCTCGAGGTGTCATTGCATTCATAAAGAATTGGTTCATGATTTATGGTTATGTATATTGCTTGAAATATATGGTATTTGGGACTTAAGTCACTTCTTTATGTCCTTCACCATCTAATGTTCATCTCTACCTTGTTCATCATGTTCGCCACTTAATATTGGCATTAAAATGGCCATGTTTTTCAAGTTCACTTTAAAGCTAGGAGATTTGTTTACTTCAAGACCTTGACTCATGTTTCAAATCAACTTCAAGAGTTCATGTTCATGAATTGGTTTTAAGCTTCAAACATAAGGGATATACAACTTTGATTGTGGTTCATTCAATATGACAAAATTCATCATTGAAATCATTCAAGTTCCATGTTAATTCCATCAAATAAAAGTTCATCCATGTTCATTACAAGTTGTTAACAAGCATTACAAAACCACTGTCATCACAAGTCCTTTACACCATAAACCATTACATTCAAGTGTTTTCCAAACTTGTACTTCTATCCTACAAAACTACATCATTCAACTACAAAAGCCCCTTTACAAAAACATTACAAAATACAACATCGCAATTTTTCCATTTACATCAAAACCTACACCTATCCTAATATATTCGGGTTCCAATCTCCATGGCCAAGTTTCTTCCTTCATTTTCTTTCAACCTCAACCACATTCATGACATACCTAGAGTATACCATACCGAAAAGTCCTGCAACCAATTTACAGGCTTCCTTTCACTTACAAATTCCAAGGCAATTGAACAGACCTGCATCTGTACATCAGGAGCAAACCACATTGCCCTGCATTTAATTAAACATAACCCAGATAAACTTTATTGCAACCTGGTACTAAAACCAGTTCGCACCTATTTCAATCCATGACAAGGAAAATCAGTTTGTGCTTTATGATAAACCAGTTGCTAACAAGTAACTAGAAGAGGAAAAATATATCAGTTCAGCCGCACTTGTTCAATAAGAAAGTCATCAAATATAGAGAGGAAATCGTGAAACAAAAAAATCAGATCAGTAGAAAAGACAGCTCGGCAAAACTTGCGAATAAAGCCTCATTTCAGATTAATCATAACCATCTAAATCTCTAACAGAAATTTAGATCTAACAGCTCAGATTGATTCAATCCTAACAAATTCTAAAAGAATCATAAAACAGAAAATTCACCAATTCACAATCATTCTTCACAAATCTGAACATAATTATCACCACCAAAAACCAGAAGAAACTCTCCCATCTTTCTCTCTGAAAATCACAAAAATCTCCTCCCATTCTTCTACTTTCTTCACGTTCATCATTCACCGCAACAATCATCATCACATCTTCACAATAATCTCGACAATTACAACACAGAACCAAAGCTTCGCATCATCATCAACGAGCCTTTTCAATCCTCTTTTGAATCAAGAACAACAAGGCATATGCAACTCCACGTAATTTCAACCATCACCATCTTCATCAATATGCATCACATCACAACAACGCGAGTACCAAACGCACGCGGAAAGTAGAAGGAGAAGTTTGAATCGGAGATGGAGTGAAATCAATGATGCGTAATGAAACACTAGGGACTGTTCTTTAGTTCTTGTTACAACCACTATCATAAGTAAAGACGCGCCAGACGATCGTGAGGCATGAAATCGCCCAAAATCTGAGAGTTGATGAAGATGGCGAATGATGACATATTGAGACTAAGAGGTTGAGAAGCATCGCGAAGGAGACAGAGGTCGAGTGTTGAGACGATGGATTCGCGGCCGACGAAGCTTGGTATGACGGTATTGCGTTTGAGTTTGTCGAAGACGGAGACGAGTCTGAGGTAAAGCACGGCATACCTTGAATCGAAGACCAGAGAAGATGAATCAGACAAGAAGTTGGCCGCCACGGTTGTGAATTAGAGAAGCTAAAGAGAACTCTGTTCTCATGAGAACTGAAACGTCACAACTATTCCTTCCAAAGCTACACCATTTCAATTCAAGGGTTCTCTTTTCAATTAATTAATTTAGTTTTTTTTATAATAATGTTTGTGTTATATGTTGCTGAACAAAATTGGTGAAACAAAAAGGAATTTGGTGATGGAAGTTATTGGTGGATCGGGCTACCCATCTCTTAAGTCCAATATACACATTTTTATGACATGCTGAAGCCTGATTGCACAAAAACACTTTCCTATGGACTCTATACTTTGGCTCAGCAATGGATTTATGGATCTAAACTCCTTGTATCAAGTTTAAACCCCACTGGGCTATTTTGTTAATTTTTTAGATTTGTTTTAATTTTTTTACACGTGATAAAAATTTACAAAATCAATAAAAATTTGTTAGATTTTTTAATTTGATATTAGGAATTAATTCATGATTATCTGATTGTTTAAGATTTGTTATTCACTTTTATTTGTCGAGATTTGAGTCTTATGCAGGTTTATTGTGTGATATGCGGTAGGGGTGTTCGCGGTGCGGTTTGAGCGGTTTTGAAGAAAAAAAATCACCCGAACCGCAAGAGAAAAAAACATGCGGTTCGGTTTGGTTCGATTGAATTTTAAAAATAAATCCGAACCAAACCAAACCAAACTAATGCGGTTTGGATTGGTTCGGTTGGTTCGGTTTTTTATAAAAAAAATTATTAAGTCATACATACAAATATAGAGGAAAATATAATTTTTTGTTTAATTGTTCATACATTACCATAAAAAAATTTATAATTGTCAAAATAAGTTTATAATTTGATACATAAAATTGCGTATTATAATTTTATCTAAATCTAAAGAATGATATAAACAATATTGCATTCTTAAATAAATATTATACAAAGAATATGATAAAATATATTTTGTGAAAATAATATTTATAAATGAATAATATTTTATTTTTTTATGATTTGTAAATTAAAATGAATATAATACAAAGTATGATAAAATATACACATAATACATGTTGATTTCTCTAAAGAATTAAAAAATATATATTGGTTAGTAAGATTTTATAACATAATGCGGTTTTGTTTGGTTTGGTTCGGTTTGTAAAATACAAACCGCAAACCGAACCGAACCGTGCGGTTCCGTGAGAAAATGACCCAAACACATCCGAACCAAATGCAGTTTTTTGCGGTTTCCGTTTGGTTCGGTTTGGTTTTGCGGTTTTCTATTGGGCCGGTTTGGTTTTGAACACCCCTAATATGCGGATATGCTTGAGTTTCTGATTGTGATTTATTTTTACATCGATGATGCTTCAACACATATTCTGAGTATTTGATTTTTGACTCTTTTCAGTTGTTTGATGCTAGCTTGTATGAAGTTTTCCAGAGTATTTTTGCTTTTGCTTGCGTGTTGCATAACGAATATTTTATCTGTTTGGTATTACACTGATCCTGGTTTATCTTTCTGCACTTTACCGCTTTCTAGATATCATGAGAAGTAGGATAATAAAGAGCGTGCACTCGAAGTCACTGTTTAAAGTCCTTTAGAAGGCATTATGCACTTGTTTGTTAATTGTGTTTGTTGATTGTTTAAAGACCTACCTTGAAGTATGCATTCTGTTGTATAATTACATTTGTGCCTAAAGACCTCAAACATGCGTCCCATTCCCCTTCCCCATTGTTAAGTCCTCAAAGAAGGCAAGCAGAATAGGGTTCATAATCGACCCCTGCAATTTCAGTCTGTGTCACCCTTAACTCGTGTTGTACGCTCATGCTTGGGAGTGTGTTGCTCTTGTTATCGAGTCGGTTAGATGGAAAAGGGATCTATAACCAATCCCTCACATTTTATCTTGAGCTCAAATTTGACGATGTTGATGCTCCGTGTTTGTTCATATTGTCTTTTATCTCCTACCTCGACTCTTGATATTTTGGTTAGGTGCTTAGTCGCCTTGTACTTTCACTTCCCCCACTCTATACTTCTTGCCTTGGTGACATGATACATTAGTTAAGAGTAGCTTTCATGATCCCTTCTTTCCTAGATGAGATATATATGGTCAGGAACTTCCCCCCTTTTACCTACCTCAATGATTCAATATCTTGGTTAGGCCTTTTTGACTTGAGCTAGTGTGCACTACTCATGACATGTGTGTGCTCTCTTGAGCTTGTTGATTGCTTGTTTACTTTTCATCCTTGTTGTAAGTACCCTGGCTGGAGAGTTGGCTTCATTTGTAAAACAAATAAGAAAGCAAGTTTACCCAGATCCCCTCTGTTGTTTTAATATGTGGTGTTGAAGAAGTTCAACATCTGAACCAACATGTTATGTAAGATGTCACAACATCAGCATGTGACATCGCGCCTGAAACTAATTCAACATCTAGGAAAATATGTTAGATGTAATGTCATGACATCTGACTTGACATCACGACAACAGAATTGATAATTCAGTTACAGTTCTGGTACTTAAATACTCTGAGAATATATGAGGCGTTTCTTGTGGAGAATCTGAAGATCAATCAAGAATCAATCAGAATATTTGAAGAAAATACTGTTTCTAAATATGGAGATATTTTAGGAACTAGAAGATTGAAGACCTTGATTATAGGAGAAGTTTGCTGCTGAGTTGTAACAGCAAGGAGAAAAACTTGCTGAGTTAGGTAATAGGTTATAAATAGCAGATTGTAACCTAGGGCTTAAGTGACACACATAATGTAACATTAGAAGGTGTTTTCTGTTAGGTAAACCTGTCGGTCTGTGGCAAGGTTACCATGTATGTAACTCGAAACCTGTAGGTAAGAGTTTGAATGTTCTTGGATGAAGCTGTGAAGCAAGTCTAAGTATTTCTGCATTACTTCATATTCATTGTAATGTAGGAAACCAAGTGGGAGGGCACTGCTTCTTGAGTAGGAGTAAGACTTCTGTTGTTGCGACAATAGGAATGGAAACTGGTAGGTTTCTATCTAGGAGTTCCTAGGTATAGGTTGCACTGGGTAGATGATTAAGTGAAGGATGGAAACTTGAGAAGTTTAGTCCTGAATTAATATTGCTAATAGTGGATCTTCTTCCTGGCTTGGTATGCCCCCAGAGTAGGTGTATTACACCGAACTGGGTCAACAACTGATTTGTGTTTTTACCTTCAATACTTTATAATTCTGTCTGTTATACAACAAGGTAAAACTGTAATGTTGAAACAGATGATGTCTCAGAACATGTTAAGACATCATGCTGATATCTGTGCTTGAATAAAACTGTGTGAATGTTACAGATGATGTCAAAAGAGATGAATGAATATCCTGCTGGTTTGTGTGCATGATAAACGGAACTAAGGGGTTTGTTTGCTTCATGGTATGTGATAGATGATGTTGCAACCAATGTTGAGACATCAGGCTATGAATGGATAGTTTACAAACCAAAGCTATTTGTTCGAGAACTGCAGATATGGCAACCTCTATGCTTCTGTTATACTGAATCACAAAAATTGGGTATCTACCTTGCAGTGTATTTATTGTGTCATATCAGATGTTTAGACATTGAGTATAACATCTGAAGACTGGCATACACCAGAATTTCAATTGGTATCAGAGCGGGCATCCTGTTCTGTTTCTGGATGAGATCCATGGGTGATACTTTCTGGTATCTGCAAGGTCAATTTTAGTACTGAAGATTGTAACCTGGAATGGTTTGCTATTTCCCTGAATGGTCCCTTGAAGTGGGAGGATGGACTATTCTTGACAGGAATTGTGTGTACCTGTCTTTGGTGATTGGCACTTGGCCTGGTTGTGTGGTAGCTGCTCTAGGTTTGATTTATTTTCAAACCTAGGATGTGTGTACGCCTGAAGTTGTGTGTAGTAGTCATGCTAGGTTTGAACCATAGTCAAACTTGGTCTATTTTTGAAGGCCAGTCTGGTGGAGTGTGTGTGCAAAGATTGGGTTGTATTATGTTCTTCCGCTGAGTAATACCTGGCAAAACTCAAGCTCTGATGTGTTTCCCCTCTTGTGGATTGAAGGCCATTATATTCAAGAATTCAACATAAACTATGGAAGATGTCACAGAAACTTGAGTCCTCTCAAGTCCACTCATGAAGACGTTCTTCGTTCAGGATGGTAAGAATCACATATTCACGGATTAGTGTTATATGAAGACCTTGAAGAATTTCAAGGAGGGCCTTGTTCCAAGGTGATGGGATTGATGTTCTATGTGATGGTGGAACAAGGATGCAGCTACTAGTCGAAGAGCATATGTCTTGGGTGTCAAACAAAGGGATACTTTTGTTTGGAACCTACTCCTGACCTGGAAGAGGAGACATCTGTGTGTGCAAAGTTGACAATGGTAAAGTCAACTATGTCTGTGTACTCCCGAAGGTTACTTTAGGAGTCAGAACTCTAGAAGTAAAGCTGGTTGAGATATGACATTGATCAGGGCTGAGCAATTGTTCCCTGAAGTACTATGGTGTGAAGAAAGACAAGCTCACTGGTTAATAAAAGCCAATGATGGTGCAGCACTATTGCTCCTTCTTAGAAGTAGATTGGGATCATGAGTCGTAAATATGAAGACTCAGAGTTTGGTTAAGATATAGCTCTTGGAGTTACGTAAATCTGGTAGGGATGTCATATGTCATGTCAAGACATTTGTACACAATGCATTTTTTGTGTGGAGCTTCCATGACTGATAGCTTGAGGGGGAGATTTGGTTAACCTCCTCACATTAGTTCAGCCTGGTGTTGATCTATGTCACATGGGTTCTGGTTGTTGTGTGACATATTTGCAAGGAAGGATTCATCTCTCTCATTCCTAATGATGAATCTGATCTGGTAGGAGTCTCAAGTCGGTTACTTAAGTCAAGGGTGGCAACCTAGATATCTCAACTCTTTGGACTCTCAAAGAAAGAGCTTGCAAGAAGAAGATATTAACACACGAAGAGT